TAGGTAGGTATAGGTATATATACTCTTTATTTTAGTTAACTATGATGAGTAATGACTAATRGACTTATCGCAATTCGCTATTCAAATTTTATATTGTACTATAAATTTGTTACAATAATATTTTACTTTGTAACATACCTATAGGCTATATATTATACATGATAATATAAAATGTCTGCGAACGTTCGCACGTTATATACCTACCTACTTGTAAACAGCTAAAGTTAATGCCCGATATAGTTAAACCATCATGTATAAATTATAATAATAATAATATGATGTATATGTCTGTGTTGCCGGTAGAAATTAGTCATTTTCGGCAGCAATTATGCGATAATATAATACATAATATATGGTCGTAATATGTGCGCGTTCGGAGAGATGAGAAAGTAGAGATTATAATATAAAGATGTATTGTTTATTATAGGGTATTAGTTGGTTAAGTAGTAACAAATAATTTAGGGTTTAGAATGTTTAGATAAAAGTTAAGTAGTACAAATAGATACACTCAACTGTCTCCACTCACACCTGACCTTTAAATTTATAGGTATCCGTATGTACATTTTATTTTAGTTAACAGTTGTGAGTGTTGTGRCTAATGAACTTTTAGAAATTCGGATTACTTATTTTAAATTATGTTAAATTTCTTAGAAAACATACTTTGGAGTGTGAAGGAATACGAAGCCACCATCGAAAAAGTGAAAAACTTTAAAAATGATAATAATATAAGTACGATAACTGCAAATAGTTAATTTAAATGCTGTTACCGAATGACGTCTTTATTATTATTTTTTTTTTCATCTAAAAACGTTAAAGCGTATCAATAAATTAGTGTTAATCTCTAAGAGAACCACCTGCATAATTGTATACAATATGTACGATAGTGCATTGCAGTATGAAATATTTTATTCATCTATAATGGCTCAGCAGAGTTATGGTTACTTGTTTAAGAAGGAGAAATGAATTTYTTACCTTAGCAAAATGTATGTGAAGAAACCTAACCAAATCTATWCATAGAAATTTATGAAACGATGATTTTTAATARGTAAATTATTTTTGTAGATTATTTGTTTAATTTAAGTATTTAATTTTTTAAATTCGTTTTGAGTTTTTGACATACCCAATAAAATTTTTAATTGCTCTTTATGGTTGTAAATTCATMATAATTATATTTAACCATCGGACAGTCAATCATAAACCTCATAAAATACATATATAAGAACCTATATATGGAAATTTAAAAAACCTTAATATTTAATAGTATAAGGTATATGCATAATTTTGGTATTTTAGGTACCTATTAATTGTTTTAAATTCGTTTAATTTTACCGAATTGGTTTTTAATTGTTTGTATATTATTTAAATGTATGATAATTATACTCAATTATCATACATTAATTAATAAAAAAACCATAATGATATTGAATAGGTAACRATTTAGTAACCTATACTATTCTATGTACTTATATAGGTACAATATCAAAATTAAGAATCTATACAAAAAAATGAGCTTTGATCGACACGTGCGCGTGCGACGTTTCACTATATATCATTATTAGTATACGAATATACGTTTATTATAAATAGTCCGTTAGTTATGTCTATACATAAGGTCTTATGTTACCTTATATATCAGTTATATACCTGTATGTTATAATTTATATAATATAATGTGTTTGTCGTCTTTTACACATATTACATATTGTAATATCGTGTACATATTTCTTCCCGCGCACACGTGGCGGTCAGTAGCTATATTGCGTTACTTTCATCTCGCGAGTGTATATATTTTATTTATAATAATACATAAAGGCGACGTCGACGTGTCTCGAACGCKTTACGTATGTTACGTCAGTGTTATTTGTACTCTGCGAAACGTTGAAATGTCAATGTCAATACTCAATAGTAGTGTAATAATTATTGGCCAAAGTAAACATTCATGAGATTATTTTTGWTGAGTTTTTATGTAAATATATTATGTATTATTAGATGSCTATTTACACAACAATCATACATTATTTTTTTAATTGTAACGAGGTTTTAATTTATATGCTGCAATTGTCATAATAATAATTCGGTCCATCCGTATAATATATGCCATAATATATAGATACGTATGTGGTGTACATATATAGATGTTATAATGTGCGGTATATTACTATGTATAGGATAACTCCCATTTTAGAATAAAATGTTTTTATTAAAATGTAAATACCTATCTACCACTGACTATGGATTTTAAATTATTGAGCTGCCGAAAATGTTTCTGCATTGTTATCGTAACCAATCATTTATTTATAACTATTGTATTCAATAATCTTTTGTTTTTTATTTGGCCTGCAGCAGTTTATAGTTTCGAATTGTCGACAAAGGCCTAATTGTAATAGGATGCTTTAAAAAAATGATTTATTCGTGTCACGTCGTTCATTTATTTGTTATTATTTGTGTTCTCGCCTTTTATAGTTTCTCACAAGAGATAACGTTTATACATATCATAATATAATGGAAAATATTAATCGTATTCGAATTTCCATGACAAATAATAATTTWCTACTACAGGTTTGAATTTATATTATACATCACTTAATGATGGCTGCTTATCAAATGCGATAAACATTATATAATATATATATGTAAACATAGTACATCACAGAGCGACAATATTTTATATTTACTCTCGGTGGCAAAAGATAACGCGTTATCGACAAATTTATATATTTTATTTGAGACTGGGATAGTTTTGTTTTCTTAAAAATGGGCATTTAAAATACGCGCTATTTAATAATATTAATCATTATATATATAATTTAATAAACGCGTCGACAAAAAACCTGAAAAAGAGTCTGCAGCTCATTTATAGATTATTCGGAGGTAAACATTAGAGCGTTATCTTTTCAGTTTTCACTTTATAATTTATATATACATAATACATATATAATAATGTCACGTCGTGAGCAAAACAAAATGATAAATGTTTTTAATGTTGTCCATTTTTCATATTACGATATAATACTGTAGGCACTTATATGCGATAAAATAGAATTTATTGTTTGTATAACAAATAAAAAAAAAAATCCTGATGTACGATTTACCTATATAAGTTTAAGCACTTATAAATATATAGGTTCCTTTAAGAAGTATTATATTCTTTTAAAGAAATCGATTACAGGATTCATTTTTGTGTAGGTACTGTCTTGATGCCACTGTACCAATAATGTGTAGGACGTAGGTTATAGGCATACTTGCTTAAATGTTTTTTTTTCAGATTAAATGAGACGCATTTAAAATAACTAATTTTAGTATTATATTATATATTGTATACAGGCATATAGCTACCCATACTTGATGATGGATTTAAAAGACATTAAAAAACCATTATATTAAACTATCCGTGTTCAATTTCAAAAACAATAGAATCGTGTACTTTTTAAACCTTTATATATATATATGTATATATTATATATAATATAATATAGGTTCACCTAAATATAATATATATATACAATATTAGTAATATAAGAATTATCGAAATCACAGCGATATATAATTTGGTAAAATTTAAAATCCGATTCTCAGAAATATGATACGCCATGTCACATGCACTATTAGCCGCCATGGGCTATGCCTTCATCACATACAAACTAAAATAAAACAGATATGAGATAATGAAAAACGAAACATGATGTACGATGTACTTATATATTATTATTATTATTATTGGTCATGTACTTTTAAAGTAGCCAGTTGCATTTTAAATTTAGAAACACGTTCGTAAATATATTTACATAATATATAACACGAGTGTTAGTTATACATAATATAAAAGGTATTTGTATATTATAATAGACTTGTTACTAAAATATGTTAAATTTAATTAATTKAATGATTCTAACGTAGCAGAGCAGTATTATAAAGGTAGGTAACTATTATACTCGTAATATATTTTACGGAATCATTCAGCTTCCAATTTGAATTATTGTAATTTTTAATYATAATATAATATATAATATACCTATATGTATCTTAATTTATTTGATGTTATAATATTGTTTACCTACACATTAAATATATTTTAAAATTTTTTAAGTGCGGTGTCATGTGTGTAGTATTGCTGGATGAGTGTAATAGTGAATGGTTCAATCACGTTTTCTCAGTGATATCGAATTATATACCTCTTATATTAGTTTTGCGCATTTGTGTTTCGTATGTTACAGCTTGGCGACAACAGTGGCGTGTATTGTATAAAAAATAAAAATTAATCTAGGCCACACAGACGACGTGTATTAAATAACAGCGTTTAAGAGTTAAAGTAATATATAACGTTCATCRATTTGATCCGACCTGTATATACCCTATGCAACGGGCTAACGTATATAATATCTAAATGTAATAAAAGTATAATTTATACACCTAAAATAACCAAAACCAATTGAGGTATTGAGTATAGGTACAGCAGGATAAAAAGAGTAGAATAATACAACGACAATATAAACGATGTACACATAATATTATATATAGCCAATAATTAACACCTAATATTTTAAAACAGTGCGAAAACGATTGTTGACAATACGCGTTTTATCTTTGGTAGGTACCAATGGTACCATGGTACTTATCTAATTATAGATTAAAAATATAGAAAAACGAACGCGTTTAGAATGATACAATAATATTAATGGAATATGAAAAAAATAGATGATGGACGTTTAATAATATTATAATAACATTATATTGTGTTATTTTATAATTATTTCAGAAGGAAAATGACGTCGTCGCCGCCACAGGTACGGCGACTGTTTTGCGGACCGGTGGGGTGGTGGGGTGCAGGGTCTTTCGGGGCGGGGGCGGCCCTCGCACCACCGCCGCCGCCCAACCGGACGGCGATTGGCCCGAAAAAAGCGCGGGATCTTGGGTCCCGCCGAAAAACGCGCGCCGTCGCCGAACGGGTCGACGCACGCACGGCGGCCGATCAGTATCGCTACCTACATCACCACCGTCGCACGTGCAGCGCACCGTACCGCAGCGCCAGCGAGCACGACAGATAATAATTATTACTATTATCGCCGCCGTAGTCCGCACAATCGCCGCCGTACGCGCGCGCCTGCTTGCCGGCCGGTAACCGTCGTGCCCCGTCGACTGTCGTCGTCYAGACGCGCGCACGCGCATACACCGCCGCCGCGAAACGGACCCGAGCGAAAGGGTCTGTCCGACCGGCGAGTGCTCTTCAGTCGTTGGACTACGCGCAACTCTTCCGGGTGTCGAGTGAATCGGAACCGCTCTCCGAGCACTCTTCTTCGCGTGCACCGCTACCACTGTCGCCGCGGACTTAACTGATTTTTTGATATTTTACATTCACATGACTATTTTTCGTATAGTGCGTTTTCGCGTTTTCCGCGATTTGTTTTGTTTATAAAATATTTTGCGTTTGTATTTTGATCTTGTGAAAAACTTTTTTCGAAACGATAAAAAAAATCAAAGTCGAAATATTGCGATTTTTTGCCAGAAAAAAAAGAAAAAAAAAACGAATTGCTTCAATCATGGCCATACCATTCGTGATGCCGGAACCTGATCCTGATACACCAATGGCCCATTATTTGCGAATTCAAAATTTGCTCAGAGAACTGTTGACTCTGCTCAGGCGAATGCCCTCTCGCATAATCGGTAAGTGTTTATTTTCATGTTGATTTATTTTATAGGCCCAGTAGTTYCCTTTACCCCAGGTATAGTTTTCAATGTTACGTCGCCATTTAATATGYCTCAAAGTATTAGTTATAATAGTTGCGCGAATTTTGAAAAAACAAAAAAAAAAATTCCGCGAAAAATATTTGCAAAAAAAATTATATATTATTTTCGAAAAATTATTTTTTTAGTGCCATATCAGATTGAGTTAATTGCGTTAATAATTTTTTTCGTAACGTTTCATGATGAAAAACTTTATTGCACGAACAAAAAATATCCACGTGTTAAATAAAAAAAAAAATAGTTGCGCAAATCGTCGCGGCTCGCGGCTGTTACGCGACAGCATTTTACGAAACGAGGAAAAATAATATACACTTACGATTTGACAATAATTATATAAAAATAGTAGCGGTACGTTCTTCGCGGTGTTCCGGTACATACATTTTAAAACACGGTTTAAAATTAAAGGATATTATATGAAATAAAAATACAATATAATATGTATATAGATAAATGATTTAAAACTATAATATGATAGGAGTCCTTTAAATAAAAAAAATAATAATTATAATAAATTGAAAATTAAATACAAATCAATACAATAATAATAATAATAATAATAAAAAAAAAAAATACCAATACTRATATTATTTTATCGGCCGGACAGTAACGCGCGACGTCTGACTTGTACGGACCTGTCGCGTCGCCGTCGCATGTACCACGGTAAAATATAAGGTCACCCACCCGACATCTCTGCCCACAGGTAGGTGAACGCGTCCGATATAACTCTACGGTATACACACGCTTACCGGAATAATATCTTATACGACGAATATAAAAGAGTCTGCGACCATACTAATATAATAATAATATACAGATGCAACGGGTGCGAACGACCCAATAAAACATTTATAATATAATAATACAAAAATCTTATACTATTTTAATTTTTTTTTGCATTAAATATGTTAAATTAATATTTTTTTTCCATGCCGTACGATCTCGTGTCTAGTATAATATTTTAGTAGGTATGATGAATAATAATAATAATATGTAGGATTCTGATAGTTGTCTTTCAAGAGAAAACCGAAAAAAAAAACAAAAAACTGAATCKTGYRAATAAGCATTTAGTATTTCCGTCAACATAAAATAATATTGTTTTAAATAAGCATTCGTGATACCAAACTATTGGTCTCAATCAGAAAAACTTATAATATT